TCCTTCTGGTTCCCTCTAGTGTCCAACCTTCAAAGTCTCATCCTATCATTTTTTTTAAAGAGAATTCAAAACAAAAGCATTTTCCCATGGGAAGGATTCTTATAAATAATTCCAAACTCTTATTTCAAATCCATCTGGACCCTTAGTCTGTTTGTAACTTTCCAGAATCAAAGTTTTAATCCCCCTTTTGCTGTTTATTTCAAAATATTTTTTTTAATCCTTAAACTTGTATTTAAAACTTCTTTCACTAAAGATTGAAGGAAACTCATCTGATGCTGTAACACTTGTCAGTCCAAAGGTTCCTAATAGCTGAAAAGCAGTTAACAAGCAATTTTTGAAAGTGATTAGAAAAGCAAGTATGCGAACCCAGTGTCCTTTTGACAGTGCCAACCATGGTTTGAGCAAAATGATGGCTATTCCCTTGTCTCCCAGAGCTCTAAACCTGCTGGGGACTGCTATCTTGAGGTCTTCTCGCAAGCAGCAACTGTCTGGAGCACTTGTGGGCAATCTCAAGTCCTCTCCTTGTCTGAAAAGGAATTACGAAGAGCCAGTCTACTCACTGTCTCTTCATTCCACTGCGGTCACGGAGCTGTCTTCAGTTCACCATTTCATCCCTAGAAGTCAGATTTGAAAGCATTGTTATGGCTGTATATACCCTCTCTTCAGAGATAATCAAACAGAATGAATTTCTTTCCCTATTGTTACAAACAGAATATTATGGCACAGCTGGTTCTGCATCAGTATGTTTTGTTTGCAGGGCTGTTGACGTGTGGGCCATTGGCTGCCTGGTAACTGAAATGCTTACAGGAGAGCCCCTTTTCCCTGGAGACTCTGATATTGACCAATTATACCATATTATGAAAAGTCTAGGTAAGAACGTATCCTGACTTTTGGTCTGTGAATCTAATATATTTTTTTCTTTTTGTAAGGTTATGCTTTTAAAGTCTTATCAGCGCTATAAATGATTATAAATTCCAGGTAACTTAATTCCAAAGCACCAGGAGTTATTCTACAAGAATCCTCTCTTTGCTGGAGTGAGATTGCCTGAAATCAAAGAGCTGGAACCTCTTGAAAAACGATACTCGAAGCTTTCCGTTGCAGTCATAGAATTTGCAAAGGTAATTTTGAGATTCTTATCCTTCTAGTCTGTTTCTAGTAGCAGAATCATGTCTTTGTTTGGGGGTCTTTAAGTTTCTCTGAAATTGAAAATTGATTAGAAAAATCAGACATTTCAATATTGGTGATCTTTTCCCAAACTCACATGGCTACTTTAGAAGCTGCTCCTAGCTATCTCAGCATGTGTGCACATGTTGTTGTTGTTATAATTATTTTATTTATTAAATTTATATGCTGTCCATCTCCCCCAGAGGGTGATTCTGGGCGGCTCACAGTTAAAGTAAAACCCGAAAACAGCTAAAAATATAAATATCCACATTAATTAGTTATAAAGTCAAACTATATAAAAAGATCATATACATAAAAAGACTCAAAACATTCAAGATGATGGGGGGGGGGGTAGAATCAATTACCCCATAAGCCAATTCCAATGGTGCGAGTCCCCATCTGGCCCCCAGGCCATCTGGCCTAGCCAAGATTTCATGCTCTTCCTGAAGGCCATGAGAGTGGGGGAACACCACACCTCAGGTAATAAGTTGTTCCACAGAGCGGGGGCTACAACAGAAAAGGCCCTTTTCCTAGACCCCACCAGTCAAAATTCCTTGACTGGTGGGGTCCGCAACATGCCCCTTCTGCTGGACCAAGTGGGGTGGGCTGATATAATGGGGGTGAGATGACTCCTCAGATGTACAGCTATTTTGCTTTGCAAAGAAAAAAGCAAAATGAAGAAACTGTGTGCATGTGCTCATAAAAACAACTGGGAGCCACTTCCAAAGCAGCCATACAAGCCTAGAGAAACACACCTCTATTTTCACTTTTTTAAAAAAGATGCTAATATGCGTTCTGAAGTACTGTTTTAAAGGACTTGTACAGCCTATTCAGTATTAGCCTCTGGGTTTGACTGACAGCTTAATTTTTACCTTATTTTTTTTACCTGCTGTTCTTTCAGTATTTGCTTGCTCACTTGTTTTATTTTCTGTTTTTGTACTGTTTCCAATATATATTTTACATTCTGTGATGTGATGTCCTAATTTCAGATATAGAACGTCTTGCTGGCAATTGTGTGACTAAGTTTGTGACTATCCTTTGAATCGCTAATGCAAAATGTTAGATCGTTTTATTTCATTTAACTGCAAAAATACAAGGAGCTAGTTTAGACTTGCTAAGAATTTGGAGCGCTCAATGGAATTTTTGATATTTTAGCTTCTTTCATTGTTCCCCTCCCATTGTCACTATATTGTATCACCTGTTTTTAAAAATTCCTTCTGCTTGAAAAATTGTTTGCTGTGTGATATGAAAGGGATTTTTTAAAAATCCAGACTGAATTCTCCTTCGGTATGTAGAATAGATGTACTAATATTGGATCTTGGTCAATAAAGCTTGGAACTTTTTGTTTGATTCCATTGTATTTAACAAGATAAAGTTTTAATCTTACTTCAGCAATGTCTACAAACTGATCCAGAGAAGAGGCCATCTTGTAATGAGCTGCTGCAGTGCAACCTCTTTAACAAAGATGGGTTTGCTGAAAGGTGAGTTGAGTTTCCTGGTTTTGTCAAGGTACATCTTAAAAGGAAAGAATAGTGAGATGTTCTGTGTATATAACACATTCTCCTTTTAGCACATACAGCACAAAATCCATTTTAAGATGGGACTAGGTATTGGTGACTTCTGGAACTGCAAAAGGGTTGGCAGTATCACCAAGGGGAAATAATGGATTGGAAGTATGGTGAAATTTGGTAAGAAACATAGTCTGAGAGCACAATGCAGGAAAAAAAAATGGTATAGGGCATGATCTGGTCCACCTAATTCTTCATTGCAGAAGAAGAATTTTATCTCTTCCCACTTCCCATATCAAATGCAAACCAATCGCTCACTATTTGCTATCAAACGTCTAGTGTCAGCTCTACATGACCAACCAGAAAAAGATTTTTTTTAACAGGAAGTGAACTTTGCAAATGATGTTTAATTCACATTAGTTATTGTCACTTCCCACATCAATTTAACTCACATAGGCAATTTATCCTCTTAAACAACATAAACTCAGAGTTCAGGTACAGTAGTTTCCATGTTCAGAGAATATTTTTTCCTGTAAAAATCTGTATCTTTAACTCAAACTTCATTGATTCATATGAGAAGATAATTGGCATTAGCCAAAAAATAAATGAAGATCGGGGAACAGTGGAAAACCTATGTCATTTAAATCCATAGTTAATCTCTTTTTTGTATTATAGTCAAGTTCTTTATTTCAGTCATCAACCAGCAAAACAAAGCTTTGAAATTTAGGACTGCAGCCATCCTGTTGAAATAATAGTGTAACCTATGTACTATAAAAAATAACTAATTTTTTTAATCACTAGCACAAACTCTAAAATCATGATACTGATACAACTAAAATTATAAATTTAAGATTTTAAACACAAGAGTGAAATATAGTGAAATTTTAATTGGTTAGATAATACAGTGTAGAGTAATGATTTAAAATAATAAAAATACCTTACGTGAAATATAAAATCATAATCCCACTAAAATCTATAAATTATGTTTAATGTTAATATTGTGCCTATAGTCCCTTCTCACAAGCTTCTTCAAAGCTTTAACAAGCTATTATTCTATTTTTCAAAAGTGTCCTTCAGTATTTTCAGTGTTAAAATGTTTTGCATCATTATATACATTCCAGTTAATTAGTTGTTAATCAGGCTTGTGTATTTTTCTCCTTTAACTAAGATCTTTAGTTCCCTCTAGTGTCAAATTTCTAAAATTGCTTATCTTTATTTTGTTTTGCAGAAATCCAAATTTCCCTATTTCCCACGAGAAGGATTCTTTATAATTAATTGCAAAATCTTATTCCAAATTTATCTGGGCCTTTAATCCATTTATAACTTTCTAGGATTAAAGTCTTACTTAGATTTTTGCTTTTTATTTCAAACTTTTTAAATTCTTAAATTTAAGATTAAAATTTTCTTTCACGAAGGATTGAAGGAAAACTCCCCCAGTGTTTTCAGACTTGTTGATCCGAAGGTCTCTCATAGCTTAAAAGTAGTTAACAAGCAATTTCTGAACATGATTATAAAAGGAAGTTTGCAAACTCAGGGTCCTTTAAAAAGCGCTGACCACGGTTGCGAGCAAGACAGCTATTCCTGTCATCTCCCAGTGCTCAAAACCTGCTGGGGACCACTATTTGGAGCTCATGTGGGCGATTTCCCATCCTCTGCTTCTCGAGAGGTTCCGAAGAGCCGGTCTACTCACCAACTCTTCGTTTTTTGGTGCGGTCATCAGCTCTGCTTTTTGTGGAGCTGTGTTCGGTCTGCCATTTCTTCCTCCAGAAGTTGGAAATGAGTTTTTTTTTTATAAGTGATGGCTTGTACCTTACTTATGGGAATATCTTGGAACTGTAGGACTCAGCCTCAGTTATTACGTGTTGGACATCTCCAGACTGGATTACACCTATTATTGTATGTGAGGTTGTCTCTGAATATAATTTAGAAGATTTGATTGATCCAAAGTTTAGTAGCCAAAATGTTGATAGAAGCCAAAAATTCAAAAAAATTTCATTTTGTGTCATCTGCTCCGGAGATCTCAATTCTAAGAATTCAGGTCAGAACTATTAGAGCTTTTAGCAATTTGTGATAAAACTATATAAATTAGTACTTCTATCCACATAGCCTTCCAAACATTAATATCTACATCAGAGGTCCTTCTTTGATGTTTGCTGTTAGATCATTTAGATTTGAAATAGAACGTAGGTGATAGTTTATTAATATGTATTTTAACTTCTACACAGGTGTTCCAATGGAAAGACCTTTCTATTCCTTCAGTTGTATTTGGCTTGTAGGTTTAGAGTAGCTTCATAGAGTTTTCCTTACACTTGCTGAAGTGGCAGTTTTCTTACACAATTTTTCTTCTTGATGAATATCTACATTAAGAAGTGATAAATAAAATGCCAGAATTTCCAGAACCGCATTGAAATATCTTTACTTACCAACACAGTAAATTTGAAAAGATTTGATAATAACAAAGTCCTTATAAGAGAAAGGGGTTTTAAAGGTGAATATATGACTGGTAAATGCTTTTGTTTATTAATAAAAGTTTTATTTTTATCTTTTCATTTAAACATGGAAAATAAGGTTTGTTCAAGAACTTAAAGTCAAGATTCAGAAAGAAAAAGAACACTCTTTACCCAAGAAATCAAGAACAAACAAGAAAGACAAAGATGATACAGGTGATGAAAGAAAAAAGCTTTTAATCCAGGTTTGTGGAACTCAGGATTTTTTCCTTCTTTATAATTGTATATTAATATATAAAAATGCCTTATTTTCTGCCAAGCCATTGTCCATCTAGCCAAGTTTAATCTATGCCAATGGGAAATTACTCCTCATTGTTTGAGATGGGACTTTCAGAGTGTTGTAACTAAGAGCTTTCCAATTGGAAATGGTGGAGGTTGAACGTCAATTATCTGGCATACAAACCCTGTTTTCTCCCTGGAGTTAAATAGCACTCTATTTTCAATGCTTTGTATCTTCCTCTGAAATTCTTCTTCCTTTAGCATGTATACAGTATTCCCTGGTAATTAATAAATGTATTGTTTTAATTATATTGATAATATATTGATGCCTTTGTTAACATAAACATTTGAATGCACTTTAATTTCCTTTTGTTTGTACATGTATTGGTTTTTTATTTTCTTTGTTATCTACTTTAACATTTTATATCCCTTTCAACCCACATCTACGTATCTGTAAGGAGGGAAAACTACCAAAACTTCACAGATTAGGTAAACTAATAGCATGTATGTGGCAAAGCATCATCTACAGTAAATAACATTGACGTGTAATTCAGGACAGTTATTTCTAACGAATGTAATTTTTGTGAAAAAAACATGTTAATGAAACATTAGGTTTGTTTTTCAGGAATATCTTCAGACTTAGCATTCTATTTGCAATAATTTCATATAATCTGGGCTTTTTCAAATATAGATTTAGGTAACAGAAGCTGGATAGCTGTCAGTATACAAGGTTTTGCAGAGACATAGGAATGGGTTTGAACTGCAGTTTCCTGAGGGGTTCATCTGTATCAGGTTGCAGCAATTTGAGGTCTCTGATAATATTCACTCTGAAGAACAGTAATTAAAAACTTTTATGGAGGGGTGCTGCTTCTCAATTTATGTAACATAACACATGGGATAAATTCAACTGCAAATGTGGTTCAGCTGCTGCCATTGAATAAACAGGCTTTATTAGAGACCAAAAGAGACCAAATATAACTTAGAATTACTAAGAATTTTAAAAATGTGAGAATACTACTATCCAGCATATATTGTGGAACTGGGTGGTTTATTGAGGGTGATGGTTAAACTTCTCATTCCCACTGTTGTCTCTAAAATAGCTGACGAGTGTTTGCCTCTTCATTGCTGCCTGCTGTCTCATCAATAAAAGAGTTGGCATTTTCAGAGTGAAATGAAATGGGGGCAAGAAAGCAATCTTTTGAAAGAAAGCATTTCATTAAAAAAGAAGCATATTAACTCTTGTAGTAAATCAAATACCTTACTGAAAAATTCTTAACCCTGTTCTTCCAAAATAACGTAAACCTTTCTCAAGTATATCCAATTATAGAAACTCCTATATTCCAAATAGGAAAATGTTTGGACATCACATTTCAGAAAACTAAAGTAAGTTTTTTAGCTCAAACTCAGCATTTTGGCTATCAGGTTTGCCTCAAGCATGATAATGGAATATTTGGACATGGAAATAATTGGAAATACATGTATATATCATGCAGGCAAACTCATCAGAGAACCAAGATTGGCCTTAGGTGTTTGTCAAGTGACAGACTCACTTCATGACAGACTCAGATTTGTTGCCATCTCTGTTGAATTCTTATTATAAATTTGACTTTTTGTTTGTTTCAGTGAGGAAAAACAGAAGCTGTTTTCTTCCATAGTTGGATCAGGATAATTGTACACAAATAGAGCAATACTGTGGATCTGAATGGTGATTGGTTGCCTCTTGCAGATAAAAGTATTGTTTTCCCATGTAGTTCCTCTAGATGATGCAAATGTTAACAGAATTAGAGTTTTCTGTGTCCTTCACATAACACTGCCTATTAATTTTCACTTCTGCTCAGTTCACTTGGCTTGTGTTTTGTTACAGGATTTAAATGTAGATTCAAAGTTCAGAGACTCCAAGCTGTTCAAAATGAAAGTATCTAAGGCTGACATACTGAAATCTGAGAGATCATCACATATGAGTTTCCTGTATGATAATAGTGCTGGACAAATTAATGCAATTCCAACATATCTGAAAGATTCAAATAATAGTCTAGAATATGTGAAGAATCCAAGCATGGTAATTCCTCCCATTGCACAGAACTATTCCACCACACCATCCAGCATCAGTGGGACCCCCACAATAGGGACAAGATTGGCAACTCATAATTACAGGTACAAAATCAGAATAAAGTATCAAATTGATATCAGTACTGCAGATTACCTTCTAGTTAAGCCATTTCTATTTAGAGTATACACATCTTTGCATCCTATATAATGATACTTAAGGACTAATTCATACAATATGTTCATAATTATATAGGTACAGTGTTTTAAATGTATACTTTCTTCCATATAGGATGAAGGGCTCATCCTGTGCAAAATGAGGATTGTTCCAACAATGTTTTTCTTAGGTTTAGGCCTTCAAGTCAGGGTGTGATTAAACAAAAAACAAACAAACAAAACCTGATCAGCAGTGGAATAAAAGGCCAATAACTGAGTAGACATTACAGGGGGGAGAAGGGTTGAAGAAGGAGAGAGAAAACTCTTACCTAGCTATTAGCAAGTGTTAGCTCATGTCTAATCTCTATACAGCACAACTCCAACATTAACTCATGTTAGCAATCTTCTATACAGACACTTACCCAGACCTAGACCTAATTAATTTCTGCAAGATTTCATCATCTTGTGCCTGTAGATCAATCTTGGACAATTCTGTTTTTCAGTTATATAGTCTTGGAACTGGCTTTTAAATTTAAGGATGACCATTCTATGTGTGTTTATTTCTAGAATTGATGAGAAAACCAAAATATATTTCAATCCTTGCATCAAGCAAGGCAAAAAATCACCAGCAGGTCACTATAATGTGAACTTAACAGCATCGGTAAGCACTTTTTAAAAATATTTGAACCTTCCTGACATTTGGTATCTATGTAGCCAGATCTTGTAGGAATTTGCAAACATTGGTTGAGCATGCAGGCCTTGGAAAGAGGGCAGAGCCAGAGGAGTAAAGTTCTCCATGTCTCTTCTACATGTACCCAACAAGTAGAGCCTTTCTCTAACATTTTATCTCTCCTTCTTATATTGGTATTCTTTTGTTTATTTAAAATATTCTACTCATCAGCCAAAAATGCTTCCCATGTCATTTAAGATCAATAAAAATAAAGTAGTCCCTACCAGCAAATCTACAATGAAACATGCACAGCACCAGAAAAAATCACATAAGAAAGGAAGAAAGAAACCTAGGCATCTTTTATAAAGGTGCAAAACATTTCTTGAAAGAAGAAGTAGAAGTTTCTTTAATCCTGTTCAGTTAGAAATTTGTAACAAAATTAATGCTTTTTCTCTTTCTGAAGTATATATATTGACACTTCTTTGTAACTATACCTGTCCAATTTATGCAAATTATCATTTTTGTTACATTTCCATAATTCATTTAGCATCTGCTTTGAAAGCTCATCAAGATGTAGGCCCAAACCATTTTCCATTTGGAGATTAGGATATATTATGCAAAGTGTGTGTTTTTTCTTAATGGGGAGAATGGCCTTTATTGGTACCTAGAAGGTCGGTCTACTACTATTAGATGCAACTCAAGCTTTCAGGTTTTCTTAATGGAGAATAGCCCTCATTTAGCTGATAACTTAAGTCTTTGCCCATAGCATCCTTCCCCAGCCATATTCCAACATTATACTTTTAATAGCTAGCATTTGTTTCTACAGATTTTTGCAAATCTTGATGTCCCCCCCCTCCCTCCGCTGCTATCTCTCTGTTATGCTAGTTGTTCTTTTGTCTGTTAGAGAATGGGCTTCCCATTAATATAGGATGGAGCAGACATTTAGTACTACTTATATAATCTCTGTATAAAATGTTTCACTTTAGGATTTATTTTTTGCAAAGCAACCTTCATATTTCATTTGCTTGGTAATAGATGTCAAAAGAGAACAATGCCATACAGTCCCTCAAGAAAAAGTGGGAGTTTTCTAAAGCAGATGTCCATTTGCCAGAGCTTAATTACAGCCATCTCCCTGAACTCAAAGGTGTGGATGGTAAGGGTTTGTGTTTGATTTCAGAATTTTTATGAATAATTTTTATTAAAAGAAAATTTTACAAAGATTTTAAAAATTAAAGAAACATAGAATAGAAAAAAGAAAAAGATTATAAAACAGTAAAAGCAAAAGTGAATAACAAAAAAGCAAGAAAAAGAAACATATTTAAAGAACTGACTTCCAATCTTCTTTGCAGCAGTTAACATAGCAGTTACCATCTCCACCCTTCCATATTGCATATTATAGTTCCTCTTCCCATAAACAAACCTTTTTAATCAATAAATCCTGAAATCAGTGGTTCATTTTTATCCATTTTCAGCAAAAAGTCTATAAAGGGTCTTTTATAAAAGTAGTTGTAGTTCCCTTTTTGATTTCAGAATTGATCAAATAATCATGATATTCAAAGGTAAAGAAAAAAAAAATAGCCCAGTGTATCATTGCCACAGTCACATTTTTCTGAAATGTGATATTTTTAAGCAGTGAAATTTTACTCTGCTCGGAACACTAAAATGACGAAGTTAGTAATTAAAATGTATTCCATTTGCAGAGTGACTTTTGAATTCATTTGTGTGGGTGCAAGTTCCATATATGATACATCCTAACAATTCATTGTGCTTATGCTTGTGGACAGATGTTCAGCCCATAATAGACAGGGCATCTGTCTTTGCTGCAGATGTGGAAAACTGTGACTGATGCTAGTCCACCCATCTGTCTGGAATTATTTTAGTCCATATTAGTTTTTTAATTAAGGGAGTGGAAAATATTCCAGCTAAATTTAAAATATTCAAGCAAACTTGAACAAAACTCATTTAAAAGGGTACCATGTAACTCTAGATTCTGTTAAACTTCAATTACCTTCTCCTAGCCAGCATGACCAGATGTGATGATGACGTAAACTGCAGTCCAACAGTCTTAGAGGGCCACGTGTTGTCCACCCTGTTATAAATCAATGGCTGGCAGATAATAGTTTGAATCAGTCAAATCAAAAGAAAAAGCAACTCAAAGTCATATGTAACACTGTGAGTTTTAGGAAGAATGGTACTTTCGCAAAAGTTAATTTCTGTTAAACAAAAATCAAATGCTTCCTTCATAAATAGCTTGGAGTTCCAGATTTCTGAAGAAAGACAACAAAGTTGTTCCAGAGTCTCGCATGCCATCTCTTGCCACAGTAGATCTTCAGAATCCAGGCCTGGCTCTGCATCAGGTACTCACAGTTCCTCTCATTTGGGGAGTAAGTAAATGCTTACTTCAAAGCTTATGGTATCCATTTTTCTTTCTTGTTAACAAAATGAGCTAGTAAGTCATACATGTGAGGTATATATCTTTCCAATATGCAGCTTTGCCTCCCTTTAAAAAATGCAGGGTATTCCTTAGGGAAAAAAACACCTTGCTTTTACCTTTGTAATTATTAGTAAATGTATTGAAAATAGAGCAAGGAAGATCATAATGACATTTAAATTTGGTACAGCTCAGTTAGAATACTGTTATATCAGTGTTATCTCAGAAGAAACATGATAGAGAAGCTTTAGAGAAAGTGAAATATTTATGAGGTTGGGCTTTTTAATTTATAAAAAGATGACTGAGGGGAACAAAATAAAGATTCATAAAATTTCTTTAATGTGATCAAGCATGATAACAGAATCTAGTTACTGTTATTTCTTACTGAGAGTATCTTTCTGATAACACTAACTGCTACCAAAACATTATCATCCTTGAAATTCAATTAAAATTTACTTGATTTGCAGATATCTGGAAGCTCCTTGCAAGATACTTCAGAAGCCACTTTCCCCAAAGTAGGGCATTAGTAATAAGTGGAACCGGCAACTCTTACATGATTCCCACTGATATGCTCCTGCAGCACTTTTACACCCTTATCATGGAGGTACTTTGAAGTTGGGGGATGGGGCGGCAGTTGCAAGTATTTTGCTACAGCTAGGATAAGAGTCACTCTCTTGTGAGATGGGCAGCTATACAAATATGATAAATAAATAAAGGCAGTAAAAGGAAAAAAATCAAATTATTTTATAGTAACCATGGTACTAAGACTGCTACTTCTTTTATAACATGTTGTGTATGAACAAAATAATCTATAATTAATCATTTCATTGATCTTGAAGATTGATGGAATTCAGCAGGAAAGTGTTGAGAGAAGGGATCTCTAACAGTCGAAGATACCAATCTAAACAGATTCAACAATTTAAATGAAATTCTCCAAATGTTGAACAATTTTTCAATGATGATTCACATTTTCTACAGAAAAGCTGTCTGTCATATGTAAATATGAGCTGGGTTCACATCATACAGTAAGTCAGGCTTTTGAAAACATGTTTTGTTTTGTTTTTTAAACTAGCTATTCATACATCATGGTAAACAGCAAACAAATCAGACACAGGTACCGATGGGGGCCAAAGTGGGGCAAGTGATGAAACATGTATCACAACATTGCAACACAAACTCCATCCCTTATATACTTATATTCATTTCATTCAACATTGCAATACAAATATGAAAGGACAGAACATGCATTGTGACATCCCAACACATATTTCATAGTTTTGGCATCATCATGGCTATTTGTAGATGCCTATGAAATTATATTATGACTTAGCATGAAGTATGAGGTCAAGCATGTAAGTACTTGGACAAGGGTAGGTGGATTTTACAGCATTGTGTTCCACTAATATGTATGTTACAAGCATCCATTTTTGTTTTTTTAATTTCAAACTCTTTGCTGAATACTTTGCAATTTGAATTGAAGTCACAAAGAAATCAGTAATATTTAAATGACAGAAAAAAAGCGGGGCAACTTCTGTGCATTCAAGAAGAGTAGGATGAGGGCATAGCTATGTCATAAGGCTAAGTTGTCAGAATCATTCCACCCTAAGGAACAATTTGTGCACAGGGAGCTAAGGATTTCTTAACAGATTTTTTTTTCACTTTCACCAAACTGCATTTCTTAAAAGCCTCTGGAGCATACTGTTAAATTATAGCTGTGAGGGGGCAAAATTATCGGGAGGGTCATTGACTTGATACTCTGTTCTTTAGCTTTCTTTTAAGAACCTCGTTCATTCCTGTAGATAATAGAATTTTGGGCTAATTAGCCTTAGCTCTAATCTAGCAGGGATCTTCTGTAAACCCTTAAAGTGAAGCAAAATTAGTACAAATTTCCATTGAGATAAACCCAGAGTGAATTTGTATCAGTGAAACTGTGGACTGATTCTGACAATATATAACCATAATATAACCTAGTTTGTTTGGTTTTAGCTTAGAATTTTGTATGAACCCTAGCCAGCTGTGGTTTATTCAAGAGAGCATGGTTATATTAACTATGACTGAATACGGTATGCAAACCAGGCCTAGTAATGGTATTTTAGGAAAAAGAGCAGATTATGCTTTGGTATAAGATAAAATTATTGCTTAATATTATGTTTATGCTTTTGGTTAAAATTTATCAGTTACAGCCCATATTTGTGGCAATATCTATGACAAATACTTTCCCTCTATATAAACTAACTTTGGATGATTTTGAAAAAAAACTAAGCAGGATGTGACCTGGTTAGTACTTGGATAAGAGGTTGCCAAGAAATTGCAAGGCTGTAGACTAGACTGGGAAGTTGAAAAAAATTGATTCCCAGTCAAGCTCAGCACTGAAGTCACCAAGAATCAAACTCAGCTCAAGGGATACGTTTCTTTTGTATAAGATTTCTGCCAAGATCAAGAGAATGCTTGCAGTCATGCATAGCTCTTTGTTTATCTATTCATCTCCTTCTGATTTACACTGAATTATCTTCATGCAGTTACAAGCATGCATTCAAGGAAAATCACTCCCAAACTATGGGAAAACAGGCTCTCTATAAACTAGCCTTGCTCTCCATTTACCCTTCAGTTACCCTTTGTCCATGAATCTAGCATGATGACATGTTCATAGTTCTTTAACACTGTGACAGTTGTATGAAAATTGAAGTTAATGTTATTTGAGTAGTATTTTCTATTTACCATCACTGTACCCAAATAATGTGAATTGATCATAGGCTTTTCTAAAGCATTCTTAATATAAGACACATCATTGAAGATGCTTAAAAAGTATGTTGTGAATATCAGTGTTGTTTGTATATATTTGCCTTTAAAACTCTTCTCAACGCATTTGGAAGTTCTGAGCATTGTTACTGTTTTGAGTAAACAGATATACGACATTTTTAACTGCCAGATAATAATAAAATTTTAATAATTATTATTAGAATACCAGTGGTATTTTGTATCTATACCAAGGATGGGCATTCTGAGCACCATGTGGGTGCCTCCCCACCCACCAGCTTCCCATTGGCAGCCTCTCTAGATCTCCAGCAAAACTGAACGTTACAGAGCCACTGTTTTTCTATTTTGGTGATTTGGAGAAATTTAAATGGCAAATCCAGTGCTTTGTGGTACCAACTACACTGCTTAAAAATGCCTACATCTCCCCCTACTCCCAGGTATTTTGTGAGTAGAGGCAAAATAGGCCCTTAAGTCTCCACAAGGCTTAAGGTAGCAGTTCTAACTCTTAACCCCTTCACCAAAAAAGTAAAAGAAATATGTATTTAAAAATTTAGACTGTCCACATTGTAATATTACTGGCTGTATCTCCTAAAGATACCTAAAGGCAGGCCAAAAAAATTACCAACTCTAGTCTGCAAAATAGACTTGCACTAGTTTAATACTGATTTCTTCTCTCCAGGAAATACCAGAAACCGATTCTGTACATTGCTGAACATTCAGTACTCCACAAGCTAGAGTTATTTTTTAAAAAGGCACTTAAATTTGATCTGTAGATGTGTCCTTTGTGTTTGCTATTGCAATGAGTGATTTGGCATGATTTATGAGAAATGCAAATTTGTTTTCTGATACTGAAGATGCTGCCTTAGAGAATGATGACAATTTTAAGTTTTTCTTATTTGCCACTAAAAGCTTTGTAACAGATAATGAAGGAGGGGGTTCTACAGTTAAGGTGAACCATTTGGCGTTTGGCTGCTACTTGCTGGAATTTGGATGAGCAAATTTTATCTCCTTTGGCCTCAGTATTTTAATGAAAACAAAGCAATTCTTTTATAAAACAAGTGCTTTTCAAAAATATGGATGGATATAGTTATATATTAATTAAAAAAAAACAGTATGTTGAATCATAGCCAGGTCAGTGGTAAAAATGCTCTTTAATATCATAATTGAGTTATATACTGCCCAGCCTAGAACTCTGAGTCTGTTGATTGAAACTTATGCTATAATATGCAATATTCTTTTTTTCTCCCTTTCCCTTCTACTATATTTACAGTATTTTATCTTTCCAGTGTAAGAGTCTCTGTTGAAAAGGGCACTTCTTGAATAATTTATAAATGAGTCGGTAAGATTTTATATATTCTAACAATACATTATGTTTATGCTTGTGCACAGATCTTCAGCCCATCTGTCATTGCTACAGATGTGGAGAACTGTGACTGATGCTAGTCTGCCCATCTGCCCAGGGTGATTTTAGTTCATATATTTTTAATTAAGGGAGTGGAAAGTATTCCACCTAAATGAACTTGAATAAAATTCATTTAAAAGGGTATCATGTAATTCTCTAGATTCTGTTAAACTCCAATTCCCTTCTGCCTAGCCAGCATGATCAGATGTGATGATGAAGTAAACTACAGTCCAACAGTCTTAGAGGGCCAGGTACTGTTTACCCTATTTTAAGCCCTGTAAAGAAACTTAAGGAGGGAGTTCTGAAGTCAAAGTGATACTGCCTTGTTTGTTTATATAACTTGTGCACCTTATTATGCTAAGATTTCTTGCTAAGGCCTACAATAATTAGGAAGAGGAAGGACCTGGAACTACATCTAAGAAGAGAGCCAGTTTAGCAAAAATGCACCTTTTGCTTCTCACTTCCCACTACAAATGTCATGAATAAGAGCTGTTTTTTAAAATAAATAATAGAAACTGCAGGATAGAGAAAAGGCTTAATTTGAGGTCATAAAAGCAACATTTGGAGCTTGGGGCAATATATTTTGCTATGCAAGTGTTACAGCGGTTTTTAAACTCCACATAAACTGTTAATAGTTTCCATAAAAACGAAAACAAATGTATGATTCTTTGTTTATGCATAGCAAGATAATTCTCTGATTGTATCTTTGTACTGGCATGTATGCAGAAAATAATAGGCTATTACACGTATTCTAATCCACAATAGGCTGCATAGTTACCAGTGTAAGATGGTATATAGCTATTGTATTATAGGAGAGAGAGTGGAGGACTATGATTCTTGAAGGGAGAATAGAATTCTAATGTAACAAAGGTTCAACCTGGTATTTTTTAAAGAAATGATTTCTTCTGATTAACTAAAAATAACCAACAGCTGCTGCAGAAATTATTGATGAGAACCATTAAATATCTGACTATACAGTGACAATCAAAACAGATTAATGGATTCTGTTACCTTCTCCTCAGTGCTTATAGCCTGAGTTTGCTGCCTATCCTCTTTCCCTCTCCAACTTGTCTTTTTTGCCACCTCATCCCAGATAATATGATTTCTATACCAGATACAAAATAGTATAGTGGTAAAGAATCTGCTTTAAATGAAAAAGGTTCACTTCCAAGGGTCTGAGGTGGGCGGGGGGGCGCAGAACCAAGTAGGCTGAAAACTCTGGGATACTGCTGGTGGTCAGCGTAACTAACTATGACTGACTTGATGGAGGGCAGCCTCCAATGTTTCGGTGAGATGAACATAAAGTTAAATACCTTAGATATAAACAATTTACTTTTGAATAAGTATTGTTAAACTCTGCAGGCACTGTTTATTTGACGCACCCTTGAAAAGAATTCTATTGAGGTTTGCTCCACATATATCTATATTATGCTGTATAGGTAATTTACATCTGAAGTGGGAAACTTCTCTCTAGTGTCTCATTCTTTCCAGAAAAATTAATAGGTGTCTAGAGCCAAAAGTGAATGGGTCCTACAAATTTCCTATTTTTTCCCTCTTTTGCTCACACTTATCCACTCATTTCATCCCTTGGTTGCAGTTCCCGGCCCCCAAGTTTTCTCCTAGGCCTTCTCTTTCTTTCTCTTCTTTTACCCCAGTATTTAAGCCAAGAATGCCCAATCCAGTGGCCAAGGGCATCAGTATGTGAGGAGATGCATACTTCGATTTTCTTAGAGTATATCCCTTGAATTCAAAAGGACATGTTTGTTATGACTGATTAAAGGGGATTTGATAGCGTTGTTTCTTTTCCAGCTATGACTTAGAAAGTATGACTTATTTTAGGAGAAAATACCTTCCTATCATCTTCTGTCTTATCCCCTTTATCAGATAGGAATATTGTCTCTTAGTTTAGAAATAACTTTCCATTGGCATGTAATTTTTTAAACTGATTATTTGTTAAAGGATGTGGATAAAACAATTCAGAGATTAGACAAATAATGTATATATTTTTAAATGCATCTACTGTCCAGAGATATTTTTATATTAGATTTTGTTTTTATTAATTCACTGATGGCATTATTTTAATATGTGAACTTTATGATACTGCTATTATAGTTTATGGCAAATAAACATAATTCTATTTGTAGCAGAAATATCCAGCCTTTAAGAAAACAAACTGTCTTTACTGGGTGAAACATAGGCCAATATTTATGGTTGACCTGTCAATCTATGAGAAATAGTAAGCTAAAATTTTAAAAAAAAGAACCAGATCTATATTCAGACAATAAATGCTGCCATTTTTATACAAATACTGACCTCTTCCCTCTGTTACCACAAAATACCATTCTGATTTCAACACTTAAATAACCTGTAATTTCTGAGCTCTGTGGCTTTGCAATGTTCAAACATGTATTTCTCATTGTGTAAATAAAAATGTTAATTAAATGTCTGTCTCGTCTTTGATCAGCGATTTAAAAATCAGTGATGGTAAAGCAGAAACAACTGACTTGAGAAGGTGAGTTAATGCGTTGAAATAAGTGAAATGCAGCATCCTGCCAGCTTTTTAGGCTTCCTGTAGAGCGGTTCTTTAACCATTGGACCTACTTTTCTTTAGGTATGACTAAAAGTGGGGAGTTTGTGCATTTAAGCAGGGAAAAAGCTGAAATGAGTGGGCCACTTCTGCCACTCTCCTGCTTTGCCCTTTCCCTGCTGGCCATTTGTAAAGGCTCACCAAGTGAATTCAAAATTGGGTAAATCAGGATTTGGAAGGAACAATTCCTTTTCCATATGCAGTTGGCCAGGGAAGAGGAGATCAAGAATGCTCATCACCATTTCTCACCCTTGCATAGAGCGTTCTTTGGACAGATCTGCCTGGATACACCTTCTGTCCATAGGGTAACTGCCTCCCAAAACACATAGTGCTTGTTCCAAGCTGTGGCTTCATATTCTTACAAATCTTTTTTTCTCTCCCTACCTTTATAATGGCTTTGAAACAAACTTGTCTTCTGCATATTTCCTACAGTGCATACATTTCAAAACTGCAGTGGAGTCAGGTTTGCCTTTGGGGTGCTGCTAAAGAAAGGTGTGATATTCTAGTTACTAATCTTGGAGTATGCCCAGGGAAACCTAAATTGAATGTTTATTATTAATAAAGAACTACAGAAATACATTCAAAAAGATACTGGATTTTATATCATTCCAAGGAGATTGAGATAGGAGTAACTACTATAAAGGATTGACACTAGTTAAAATGCAACTGGAAGCTTTAAAAGTGTTTAAATGGAACACACAATATAGCTGTGGATCATTCTCCTCAATAAATGCACAAGTATAATTTTTTTACTCATTTGTTTAATTGGATTCTCTTTATTTAGTTTTAGGACTTGTGTGGAAAACAAATCACATATTAGGTCATATTCAGAAATACTGAAAATTCTAAAGAGTTCACAGACGTAAGCACCACTGTATATGGTAAAGAACTAAGTTTTCCTTTCTACAGATTTAAGAAGAAACCAAATATTAGACAATATAATATATACAAACCAGGACGGAGGACTAGACTCACTCCTGTCTGGGTTTATGCAGGTGTGCAGCCCGTTAATTTCACCCTTTAAATTGGACACATTTCATTGTTGAGGGCTAAGATGAGAAAAGAGCTTTTATTAATATTTCCTTGAATATATGTAGGAGTCTTTGTATGCTCATACACCTTTCTGCTTTTAGTTTTCGTATGAGCAGGCTGAATGGCTGAAAACGGCTTCAGTTGTGAATGTTTCCTACTCTGCCATGTTTAACCAACCAAAGCAGCCATGGAGACTGCAATCTAGAGTGGGAGTGGAAGGAGATGCTTGGCTGTTTTACCATGGAAGACCTTTCCTCTTTTTTTCCCCCTCTCCCTCAGCATCAACTTAAACCATATTCCTCTTCCCAAAATTGCATTAACAAATATATGGATATTAAACCAAATTGTGACAATAGTGAGGCAAGCCCATGTTATACGGAGAAGCATATGCTCCATCATTTTACACTTCCAGTACAAGTATAATACATGGCAGCTAACCATTCATATCCAATAAGCATAAATATTTTGTTTAAATATTCTCAAAAACAAAAATATTTTTCAGGATGTTTAAGTACTGCTTTGTTAATATAGAAATTCCAATTCTTTATTCTAAAGTTCTTGCAAGTAACTAATATCTACCGTAGCAATAGTCTTTAACTATTTAAAAATTGTAGATTTGGAGTGGTCCAAAATAGATTTCAATCCTGATGGTTATTCAGGAATTTTAGATGCAGTTTACACATTTGAATCAAATTGTGAAGTTAAAAGATTTAACTGAATATGCTGCCATTCTGCAGGTTTTGACAATCTAAATTTTTGCAATAACATTATTAAATATTATCTCTATTAGCCCATGTATTGTAGCCCCAAGATCAGACTAATGCAGGCAATAGTATTCCCTGTGACACTCTATGGAAGCAAAAGTTGGACTTTGAAGAAACAGAGCATTGTATTGATTCTTTTGAACTTTGGTGTGGAGAGGACTCAAGAATACCATGGATAACTAAGAAAACAAACAAATGGATCATTTAACAAATCAACCCAGAGTTCTCACTTGAGGCGCAAATGACCAGGCTCAAATTATCCTACTTTGGACACATTATGTGAAGACCTAGCTCTCTGGAGAAAGCTCTAATGCTGAGAAAGGTGGAAGGAAAGAGAAGAGGACAACCAACAGCAAGGTAGATGGATTTTGTTACCATGGCAATGGGTCCACAGTTGGAAGACCTGAAAGACCGGGTTAAGGACAGATCGTCATGGAGAAAATCTATTTATGTGGTCGCTGAGTTGACATTGACTTGATGGTACATAATCAATCAATTGTAATCCCAACAAAAGATTTACCTGCAATTTTCAAACTAGGATTATCCCAGACTGTCATGTGAATAAGGCTCAAAATATTCTGTCCCAAGATATGCATTGTGGCCTTTAATGCTGTAAATACAACAGAACTTTAATTAAAAAAAGGAAACAAGCTTCTGTCAAGGTATTAGAAGGTTCACATAGTAGCTTTCTAATTGTATTGTAATGGTTTGGGGACTTGATCACATGGATTCCATAGAGAAATAGAAGTAAAAATGTATGTCCAATGATAAATGTGAAAGGAATGTTAAAATCATCATCGTTACATGATAGCTCTAATTGTATTGTAATGGTTTGGGGACTTGATCACATGGATTCCATAGAGAAATAGAAGTAAAAATGTATGTCCAATGATAAATGTGAAAGGAATGTTAAAATCATCATCGTTACATGATAGCTCTAATTGTATTGTAATGGTTTGGGGACTTGATCACATGGATTCCATAGAGAAATAGAAGTAAAAATGTATGTCCAATGATAAATGTGAAAGGAATGTTAAAATCATCATCGTTACATGATAGCTGTAACTTGGATAAAGAAAATCTATAGACTTACCCTTCTCATAGAAACTTTTTAAAGAAGATCAATCTACTTAAAATTCCTTAAGAGAATTATTATAACTTTAGGTGTGGTCAAAGGCCAAATAATGGAAAAGACATACAACCCCAAATTTGTACAAATTCCCATAAATACATTACAGCTTATGGAAAATGTATGAGACTTCACTCCAATTAATTAAATAACCTGAAAATTTATCAAATGTACTGTATCAATAAATTTTGATATAGAAGATTCATAACTATCAATAAGACATACAGGTAGTCCTCGGCTTACGACCATTCATTTAGGACCATTTGAAATTAGGATGGTTCTGAAAAAGGTGACTTAAAACAAGTCCTTGGACTTACAACTGTTGCATCATCCCCACAGTCATATGACCAAAATTCAGGTGCTTGGCAACCAGTATGTATTTATGCGATCCCCATTTGTGACCTTCCCACCTGGCTTCCAACAAGGAAAATCCATGGGGGAAGCCGGATTTGCCTAACAACCACATGATTCACTTAATGACCACATGATTTGCTTAACAGCCACAGTGATTTGCTTAACAACTGCAGCAAAAAAGGTCGTAAAATCAGGTGCGATCACATGATGCCTCATTTAATGACTGCACCTCTTAATGAATTTTCCAGTCCCTATTGTGATAAGTCGAGGAATATCTGTAGTAGATCATCTATATGGGTTCAGCTCCAGCTACCTTTTGCCTAGAATGTCCTTCAGTTGCTTGATAAGACAGGCTAATCAACAGTAATAAGACAGTACCAATTAACTATTATGTGACAAAGAGCATCCTTGATGAGCTCCATTAGACATCTGAGGGAATCACAATAACCCTGGTTGAAGGATAAGACTATAAACATTTTAATCAAAATGAAATTTATATTTGTTCCAGATATTCCCAATGTACTGGCAAATCTAATTTTCAGAGAAATGACTTAAAATATGATAACTGCCGTTAAAGAATTCTAGATGGCTAGTAAGATATAATTTCCTTAGCCTATGCATATAGTACAGCAGAAGGGTCCAGCTAAGAACACACGCAGACAGGTGTCACTTCATAAGGTAACTGCAGCAACTTGATTTCAAGATGAGATCAGAGATCTGAATCTTATACTGCTGACTACACGTTCACCCAGTGCCAGTATTTTAACTTTGTGTCCTTCAGTAGATACACTTGTCTATCTAAAATATCAATTAATAGTCTAATATTATCGAAGACTTGTCCTATTTTATAAAATTGTATTGCAGTGGATGGGCAATCAAAGGTCATATTTTTTGTAATCTACAGTATATGTCAGAATGTATTGGCATCAGCATTTAATTAGGAAATGGAATCTTCAACCAGCCTTCAGCTCCCATTTATATAAGCCTCATTGAAGGAAGCTGGAAAAACATTATTCAGAAGAACATCATTTTGCTCCAACAATACAGGAGCAAAAAAATCAATATATGTCTCTTATTACCAATTAAGATAGCATCAGGAAAGGGAGCTTTTCCTGTTTTCATGGATAAAATCTATTATTTCCTGAAGAGGAAAACGTACAGCTAAAAATATTGCTTGATCTCATGTAATCTTTGGAAAAGCTATAGCATTTTAAAAATGATTCATTTCAACCTCAGTGACCTTTGACTATTATAAGAGTGAATATGAAAATCAAAAAGCACATGTATTAGATTAGAACCATTATATAGCACTCTTGGTTATTAGAAATAAACATTATTTTGTTGTGGCTGTTTCAGTTCATTCTTCTTATTCCCATTATCTGGGCTTCACATGATTCATTGAATGTTCTATAACCAGGGCATAGAGGGAATTAAGTTCCAGTTAGTAGACAGTTCTAGTGCAGGCTGTCTTGCATATGAACTCAAAAATTCCTTAGCAGAACCTGTTTCTTGTTTCTTCTTTCCGAATAACC